TGGCCAGCTGTGTTTGATGGTCCGGTATGGTTCGGGACAGATACGGGATAGCACCAGGCGTGACACAAACAAAGAAACAAACAAACACACAAATACCAAACGAGAGAGCTTGGAAGCTCAGGGCCCTACGCTATGCTTTTATGCTTTTTTGCCTAGCTCATCGTACATGTTATAAGAACTGATGGAATTGTCTTTTTCCATTGATTGGCCACATCACTGTATTGCAAAAACGTTTCAATCGGTTTGAATATTATGAGTTAGGCAAAAGTATTTGCAGTATTTATTGCGGATTGTCATTTCTCTAATAATCATCTACTTTTGTTTTGCTCCTTCTTTAATTTTTTAATTCTTTAATTTAATCGCCAGCGAACATTAGTTGATTTTAATACAGTTGATTTTAATACAGGAATCGGATTTTCTGGCCTTTTTGTAGTAATACATGTACATTGACCTGTTGAGCCAATGACGACGCCGAATGCATGGTTGCCTGTGGAGCACATTACATAACTTTACAGTCTCCTAAAATACGTATCCTGTCCGACAGCAAAAGAGGCTGCAGATTTAGTTTTTCTGCGCGTCGACGGGATGTCTGCGACGCGAAAGTTCAGCTCGCGTTATTTGGCTTGCACGTCGAAAAATCAACGCGAGTGACCTGCTGCTCACGTCGAAATTTGGACATTACATAACTTTACAGTCTCCTATATAAATACGTATCCTGTTCGACGGCAAAAGAGGCTGCAGATTTAGTTTTTCTGCGCGTCGACGGGATGTCTGTCCTGACGTTTCCTGGGACCGGCGCTGACTCTGCCAATCACGGGCGTTCTGGACTCGATGGGATGTCTGTCCTGACGTTTCCTGGGACCGGCTTAGACTCTGCCGATCACGGGCATTCTGGACTCGACGGGATGTCTGTCCTGACGTTGCCTGGTACCGCCGGACTCTACCGATCACGGGCGTTCTGGAGTCGACGGGATCTCTCTTCCGACGTTTCCTGTGACCGGCACTGAATCGCTCGTTCACGCTTATTTTGGAGACGACGGGATCTCTCTTCCAAAGTATGTTAATGCTGACGCATCCTATCACCTAATCGGCGTCTATTCTAATTTAAATTCCTCCTCGTCTCCCTATTTCTTTCCAAATCCCCCTCTACATCAGGGAGTCGTATGCATAATACGACGAATATTGGTACGGTACGGGACAGATACAGGAGCCCGCAAATATTGTGGACAGCTGTTATGTACAATCCTGTAGAGCCTTTGTAGTCACAGATACGGGACAGATACGAGACAGATACGGGATAGCGCCAGGCGTGACACAAACAAACAAACAAACACACACACAAATACCAAATTAAAGCTGTGTGGACCCTGGCTAGCGCCAGACGTTACTGAAGTAACGTCTTCTGCATAGCTACGGGAATAAATTAAAGAGAATTACCGTGTCCGTTCCCGAAGTGCACCTACACCAGCCGCTAACACCCGGTAAGCCCGAGCAGGAGATAGGCATAGGAAATTTATAGGCGTAAGTAAGGCGTAAGTGCCTGCAAAAGTTTCGAATTGAGCAGAAACTTGGAAATATAACCGAGATGTGATGCAGCCTGGATGCCTTGTTGATGGATGGATGATGGTATTCTGCACATCTGGTAAGGCACGTCATGATCATGAATTCCAGGAAGTTGGTTGAGCCCTGCACAAGCATTGAACTGGTTTGTTGAATGGTCAAGAAATTGATTTAGTTACAACCGCTGCAATGCTCATTTACAGTGATAGGTGAAGACCACTTACGTTCACATGTGGGGATGGAGTCGAAGCTTCCACCAGGTGTGGAACACTTTGGTGATTTACCTATATTGGATAGAGCGTAGCCTGCTTTGCATGTCACATTAAAGCCCTGTGCCTTTCCACCAGCATCACCATTGATTGCAACCACACGTTCACTATTGTCAATTTTCGGCACCGAACATTCAGCTGCATAAAGTATGTGTGCACAACAGAACAAAACCAGATACATGGCAAGGATTCTTTGAAACACCTTGAATGTTCAGTTTTTCCTGTTCCTGTATCTTGCCCCTTGTCTTCAGAACCCAAAGCAAACAAACTGGCCATTCACTACTGAAGTACCTCGGTGTAATTATTTTCCTCTCTCTTTTTCGGGCCATCACTTCGATTTCGCTCACACTTTTGCTGTTAGTTTTTGTTTGGGATCTTAAACAACCCAACAAAAGGATTCGTTGCACAACTCACTAACACCTTGGAACTGAGGACCACCTCGAATTGGGCCAAAAATACTACATATTTTTGGGACGAAAGGCGAGGGCTGCAACAGCATACGCAACGGAACTAAGAACAAACTACCACCACCATGTCCACATTACCTCACCTCGCTAGTCTTCATTTCATCCCTTACACTGAGCCATGGCTACATTGCGCGTTAGGATCAAGCTGTAGCTGTAGCTAGCCAGTTTAGTCCTATTGTGCATATATTCTGCGGCATTGGTTGCGTCTGATGTCGATGGTGGTACAGTGTGTATATGTGTGCATGGTTGAATCTGACTTGTAACATCCTTTATTCCCATAGCTATGCAAAAGACGTTACTTCAGTAACGTCTGGCGCTAGCCAGGGTCCACAAAGCTTTAATTCCGTGTTTGTTTGTTTGTTTGTTTTTTGCCATCGGCATGCCTGGCGCTATCCCGTACCTTTCCCGTACCCTACCATCACGGACATCATCGGCATACCTGGCGTTATCCCGTACCTGTCCCGTACCGTACCATCAAAGACAGCTAGCTAGCCACAATACTCAAATAGGGCTTTCAAATGCAAGATCATAACATGCAGCAACTTGGAAGAATGAGTATGTATGCGAAGTGTACCGGGGGAATGCATGCATGGCGATAGTGCGGGTTCGAATCCTAGGTTATGTCTTGACAAAAATTATACCATCCCTGTGGTTTTTTTGCCTAGGTCATCAAGGTGGTAGACGGTGTCGTATTACCCTCGAATGCGAAAGCTGACTCTCGCTAGGCAAAACAGCATAGCGCAAGGCTCTGAGCTTCCAAGCTCTCTCGTTTAGAGGTACAACTTGTAAATTACCCTCGGTTTTCTATATAATACCACTCTCGATATAACATAATTTTTGTGTGATCCCAGAGTTTTATGAACAGTAGACCTGTATCACTAAATTGCATCAATGATTTCAAGGGCCATAACAGGAACCATTTAAAAAGTCAATTTTCCTGAACCAAGAACTGCAAGACAGTGGACTATGTCCGTTACCACCCGGGACATATCATATTCTCGTAAAAAGTGCTCCATGTTTTCTGGAAATATTTTTTTGAATATTGTTACTTCACCACATTGCAACATTGCCAATTTCCTACCCTTTGTGTACGTTCTACCAGCGCTCGCCTTTTTGCTCACTTTTGGTCCCATGGTGTCCGTGAACTGTGCAACGAATACTATTCCTGGGTTGTTCTAGACCACAAACAAAACTTACCTGCAAATTTTGAACGAAATCAGAAAGATAACCAAGCCCCGCTTTTTAAGTGATACTTCTGCCAGAATTTTGCTGATACCCTCGCCTGCCACCTGGAGACATGGATCGCTTGAAAAAGAATTTTCAAGCCTTGAATTTGAACACGAGACTTACTCAGCGGGTTGTCGAATGCTGAAGAGTCTGCCTCATACTCTGGTGGAGACGTCGACACCAGCTGCAGGGGCAGTGAGGTAGGAGGCCACACGCTCATGCTTAGTCCATCCACAATGCTCTGCCTCAAATTCGATCTGATTCCTTTGCTTCACGTGAAATAAAATGCATCGCTTTGGGACGCGACAATTGTAGTGACAAGAAGGAAGCAGAAAGCACACTCTATTTTCTATTTTCCACAAAATATCTCCCAAAGCTAGCTAATCACAAGTGTCATTCACCTGCGGTATCATTGCTGTGGCCCATTCCAACAACAGAAATTAATGGGAAGAGGGAAGAGGTGTTTGTCGCGCTGGAAACGGAGCGTCTCTGTAAATTTGTATCCCTGGTGATGTTTGTGCCTGGAGAGCACTATATAAGTGGTGCTCTTCAGGCACAATCTTACTCAGCCTACTCAAGCTCAACTGATGAGAGGTGAATTCCCCGAAACACTGTGTATTGAGCAGGGAGTGGTGCTTTCTTGCAGTTTTGCCGAGCCGAAGGTTCGATGGACTCCTCGTGTTCTCTGGATGGCAGTCGTGAGTCAGTCAAGTGTCAAGTAAAGTCGGCGGAATAGCGCGAGCTCCAGTGTTGGGAGCAAAACCTTTCTTAGGGAAGAGATTGCCATATTTAAAGTCACATACTTCTTGATTTCAATGTTTTTCGGAACGGGAATGCATTCTGTGGTATTTACATGTCTTTGTTCCCTGTGTAACTTTACGTTCCATCCTCTTATCAAGCCAACCCCACTTTAACGTACTTGTTAGATTCAGAGGAAAATGCTAAGGTTCATTCTCCATGTGCACTTGATTTCATGATGTCATGAAGACGTGCACGAGATTAGAACGGGTACTTCAACTCATGACAGGATTGTTCTACATGGCAGTGCTCATAAACAAACATACACGATGCAATGCTCGGGAGCCACTTACGTTCACACGTGGGTATGGAGTCAAAGCTTCCTCCAGGCAAGGAACACGTTGACGAAAAGTCCAGAGGGGAGAGAGAATACCCTGTTTCACAGATCACCTCAAAGCCTAAAGCCTTGCCATCAGCAGTAAGGTTGAGGGGTAGCACACTCTGAATGGTGCTATCGTTAATTGCTGGCAGGGAACATACAGCTGCACACAGAAATTGTACAGAATATAATTGCTTCCCCCGTCAGAAGAACTACACGGAAGAAGTAGTAGAAGATGATAAGCATAAACACAGAATCTTATTAGGAAATGCTTTATGAAGAATGGCGAGGATTTAATCTACTTTATCTAAAATTATAATGATGGATAGAAGCAGAAAAACCGGAGAAGGGGCATTGCCATCACTCTCCAGGAGTAAGCCTTAGTTTGCTTGATTCATATATATCAGTCCAAAACAAAACCCAGGCCAAATTCGGAGAAAGTGGCCAAAAAGATGACTCCACTCCCGCCAATGGCAAAGCGAGGTACCCTGAGTATTGGGGAAGAAATTTCCCCTGGTAGTCCTTATTTTTCGCAAAGGAAGTTAAATGGACTCGGATGGAGATTATTATTGTTATTATTCTCGTATCCGTCGCGATTGGGACTCACGATGGCAGAATTGACTGTGACCATGTGTGTGTGAGAGTGGGAAAACGAAATGAAATAGAGAAAAAGAGATGGAGAACCAAGGATAAATTGATAGATTAGAAAAAGGACCAAGGAACTACAAGTTATGCTATAATGTCCACTAACACCCCCGTTACAAAGAAAAAAAACGGGGTATTTACTCACCAGCAGTCATACCACAGGTAAGGAATCAGACATAGGCGTTAGTCATCAGTATAGGGTGACGGCAAAGGTCTAATTTCTGTTCTTGGATGCTGAACATTTTTGAACTAGACGCAATTTCTTCGCTGGTGTGGCTGCGATGGCACTTTCGACTCGCTGAGATCAGTCAGGCGTTGCAGCCTGCACATTTGTCGTGCCTATAGCCATTCACTCAAAAACTCATCACTGTTTTACCTGAGCTGGGGTGAAAATTACTTCGGGGAACAAGCGGCAGCGCTTGGAGAAACATCGAGGGGTCAGCAAACTGATGCATGCAAGCTCTTGCATTCATGCAAGGAATGCTGCCACTCAGTACTAGACTAGTACCCACGGTACCTGCAGGGGTTGTGTAGTCCGTAGACTCTACGTGTACACTGCACTGACTGTAGACTAGTGCTAGTGATGCATGCGCAGGTACCGTACCAGTGATGCTGAAAAGGAGTGCGCGCTCGACGTCATAGTACACTTACCTGCAAGAGCAGTGAACACACAGCTATGGGCATGCCAAGGCTAAAAAAAGTTCATTTCAAGATCGAGGTGATTCGGCCGATGGTAATCAACCGACCTCGCAACGACTCTAGATTGAGATTTAACTCCCTAGAAAAGAAAGGTGTATCCTTACTGTGTTGGTGGCGAAGTAGAAATCATCCAGAGCTACCAGACGACCAGCATAGCAGCTCTTGTCCTGTGGAGAAAGTCAAAGCGTTTGAGATGAGACGCGACCAACCTACAACCTTCTTGGAAATTTTACGGAGCGATATTTTTTCGTCCATTGGCATCAGCGACGACGAGGCCTTCATCTCCGTGTGAAACTCTCAGTCCAGCTGTCCTGGAACGTTACTCTAGACTTCAGACTATCATACTGTGTAATAAGTTTTGTATGGTTTAGCTTATGGAGTTGTCAGTAACAAGTAACTAGTCAAACTGCGACAATTTCAATGACGCGGAGGAAGTAAGTTATAATGATAACATAAGAGGGGGAGGTGAGCACAGCCAAGACAAGCAACGGTCAAATCACAATTCAAGGATGTAAAGCAACAAAAAACATTCCACATAACTTGTGTTTCTCAAAGACGCGAGGATCAATAAAAGGGGGAGCGATGCGAACAAGAATCATGAAAACCGAACTCAGTACTACAGCACTTTACTTCGACTATGAAAATTAAGATGGACAATAAGTAGAGGTCACACGCAACAGCTTCACACGACAATCGTTTCGCCGTATAGATAAGGACGGCTCATCAGGTGTGCAAGGATGGACTCGGATTCCCCTCTTATGTAACTTACCATAATTATAACTTAGAACCTTTCAAGTTGGAAGGCTGTTGGAGTGCACATACAAAATGTGCTAGAGCTGTTAGCCAGTTAGTTGTAGAACGTCAGTACCGTCGGCCAGCATCGTGGAATATTATCGCATGAGCTGATTGTTTAGTAAGGGCGGTGATATTGCACACTATGGCATAAGTTAAAGCTCCTTGGTCATTATTTTATTTTCTAGGGAGTTAAATCTCAATGTAGAGTCCTCGAGCCTGGCGTTTTCCACCCTGGCAGCCCGCACCCGCCACGGCTGTCCCATGCATGCGACGCGCGTTCATTCAATATGGCGGCCAAATTTTAATCTTTTTTCATTTTTTACGCGACCTGGCCTAGCCGTATGTTTGCAATTTCGCTCGACTTCCATCTCAAACAGGCAAGGTCAACCGAAACGCCGGGTGATTGCCAGGTCATTCGATAGAGTTTAGAGCTTGGACTGGCCTTGCCTTCGACTGTGCCGCCGCTTGAGCGATCTTCTTGGGTTGTTCTTGGGTTGCCCACGCGCTACGCATGGTTTCTTTCTCGACGCGTGTGCAATTATTTTTGGATCGTTGCTCGATTTCTAGGGCTCGCCACCCTCGTCAGCGAATTTTCTCCGCCTCGCAGGGAATTTTCTAGTGTACCTTGATGTCCTAGCCTTTCAATTTCGTGTATTCCTAAGCTTGACGTGCATCAATGTAGCTTTTCGTGGCCATTTTAGAGACGTTATTTTGTTCAGAAATGGAAGCTCATTTTAGCATCCTGTCGTCCTGTTGTCGTATTGGAGGGGAGAAATTCGCGTTAAGGAGTGGACGGACAAAGTATCGTGTGGCAGATTATACTGAATCCATTTTGGCAGTGTTTCATCTCAATGTGGATGAAACCAAATACACCCTGCACATTTTTGCCACACTGGCTAATTGGCCATGGAATGCACTGCTACTGCCGGGGGCCCAAAATTCTCTGGAGCTCCAGAGGTGGATGTACACCGCTCAAAGACTGAGAGCCACACAGTGGGACAAACTGTTTGAAATACAAGCCTTCCAAGCCTGGCAGGAAGTCCAAATGCAAAACACAAATGCAAGACAAACTTGCGGCATGGGGGAAAACGCGAGCCATCGCCCGCAAGCACAAGCACATGCATGCCATCACCACTGACAGCAGCATCACCAACAAAACCTTGCCCCACCACACCAGTACCTGATCACTGGATAGTTTAGTCCGTTTGATCCAGCTGCTGGGAACACGGGTCCATTGATTCGCCTTGTTCTGCTGACTGTTGATCCACTGGACCTTGACCGCCAAGCCAGTGACAGCGACGAGATCAGTGATAATCTGGAGACGGCGCTGCACAAGTACCTGCTGCAGGCCGCTGCCGCGAACACGAGACACATTGCCAAGCACCGATTGCAACCAAGCAGCCACAGTCTTGGAATCGTGAATAACGTGAGCTCCTTCACTTGCCACTGCATGGCAATGTTCAGCCCCTTGATCACGGAGTCAAGCTCAGCGATGTTAATGTGTCGCCGGTCCTCCTTCTGCCGCAGCCAGCAGCCATCCTCGACAATCATACCATCGGCCTGAATGACAGCACCATGTGCGATGTCCAAGGCATCACACCACAACGACCACTGTTCGTCTTCAGGAACTGACCACACACCTTGCGCAGGGTCATCGGTCTGCAGACGGTGAATGACTTCCGCACCACAAGCGATGACTTCATGAGACACTGGATCGTCCCATCCAGGCTGACTGCTAGACAGACGCTTCAGATAACTGCACGCTGGGCGCAACCAGGAGCCGACGGGATAGTGGCTGGTCAGCTTGCCACACCACTTGAAAATCTCGCGCCGTGTGATGGCATCGGCCTGACAGGTCGGCATGACGCCACCACGACGCTTCCACCTCACTTGGCCATCTGCAGACTCAGACAGCTGCACACCGAGTACCCTAGCAGAGACGACTGGCTCCGCTGGCTTGGTGGGCAACCCGTACTGCGACTACTGATCGGTGACAGCACGCAGACGAGGTTTCGGAACATACAAATCGTCGACATAGTTGTCCACATCAGCATACGCACGGAGGACGTCAACACTCTCTCCCCGACGAAGAGTTCTGGCCACAAACTTCTTACATGCCTCTGCTGGCGTGATGCAGAAAGCGGCTCGGAGAGCAGCATGGACAACCTCCTCACTGGTCTGCTCGACATACGGCAGCGCACTTCAAACAGTGAACGCGTCCTTGTCTAGAAATAAAGGAAATGGTCCATTATTTTAGCCTTCGACGTCCATTTCTGTATCCGTGACACCATGCGGAATTTCAGCAAGAACGCCTCCAGGTCGTCATCCCCTCCACGATACGGCCGCAACAAGGACTGTCCAGCAGACGACGCCGTTAAACAGGCAGTGAAATAACAAAATTAATAATACTCTCCAAGAAGGCAATAACCTAACCACAAAGCCCCAACGGTCCACTCAAAACCAGGTTTCGGTATCACGTTGTTGTGGAATTATCCACCACCAGACCAGCGCAAGGATATAAGTTGGACTATAATTATTAATTTCAATTCCAAAATGCACAAGAAGTGTACAGAAGAAAAATGCATGACCTCGACCAGGCCAGAAGCAAGAAGAACGGAACACAAGATGTTGAAAACCCTTCTCCTCAACAAGCTGCATCATGTACAACGCAAAACAACTGGCTGCACCAGCGCGTGCATCAGCGCTGCACCAACGTTTGCAGAAGCGAAATCAATATCCAAAGTACGTATCAATCATTACATTACGTACAACATGCGCAAGAGGATTACTCTACTTCAGGGGTGAATTCCCTGCGCTGCTGTGCATTGGGCGGGGATTGGTGCTCTCTTTACTGCAGACGGCAGCCGTGAGTTACTCGAGTGTCGATTCGGTCCGCAAAGCGCGTGTTGCAACGTCTAGAGCAGTCGTAGCAAAAATTTCAATAATGGTAACCACTCTGGTTACAGGGAAACTCGTGAGCGTATTTTAGCACAGATAACTACACCGAGCTGTTGTGTTCCTCCATAATCTAAAATTATTATTTAAAATTATTATTGTATTGGTATTTTATTATTTGCATGTTCACGTTAGAGTCGATCAATGATCTACACTTTCGCTTATGCTGAAAAGAGGAAGGGACACTGCATCAAATGGTGTCAAACAGAGGTGTCGAGCAAAACAAAACAAAAAGAGAAGCGGATGTTCTTAAATGGTGAAGGTATAATGTACTCTGCCTTGTATTGGTATGTTTGTCTTAATGCTGAGTATAATTGATCAGTGTTCTGATATTAAGAGTGTGTTGTTGTTGCAAAACATGATTATGTCCTAAACAGACTTACGTGTACATAGCCCTGTGACGTTGCTGTATCCCAGACTGCACAAACCCATATCTGGGAAGCAAGACAGACACCACATCACTATGAATCACCTCTCGTTTCTAAGTCCGGTTTGGTGTTTGGAAAAAGTCAAGTAAACTATCGTGTCCGTTCCCAAAGGGAACTCACGGCGGCCGCTGACACCCGGTAAACCCTGTTTGGTGTGCTGTCAACAATATCATGCCCGTGCATGGCTTTAAGCAGACTCGTTTATCATCACATTCTCCTTTGCGTCTTGTTCATTTCCTCTTCTTTTTTTGCTATTCATCATTTTGCGAGAGCTGTGGCAATCGCACTCAGTGCCTTGCCTTTAACTCAGTTTGGCATGCTCGTTCATGAACACAAATATGATTTTGAACTAGTTTTCGCACAACTCTCCTCAAGAGAAATGAAGTGGCAATAAACACCCATGAAAATAACAATGAACTAGCACTAAGGTTAACAGGAAAAACTGCAAAAGCATCTAAACGAACTATATGTCCAAAAATACACTACTGTTTATCAACGTAGGAGTGTTGTGCGATATCCAGTTCGAAGTCATATTTTTGTTCATCATTTCTTCCACATCACGTTATTTTCTCCTTCCCCGTGTTGTTCAACACCAACGTATCCACTCGTTCTTGAATAGAATACAGCCTTTGCGAAATAACTCGTATTGTGGCAACACTGGCCAACACTCGGATGCATTGCTACTTCACACACTTTCGCACGGTTCTTTCTCAACGTTTCGGTCACTCTGAACATCTTCAGGCTGAAGTGGGCAAGGAAGCAAGTTTAAAACATCAAGCTGGCTAAGTGGGTGCGGAATACAGCGGGAAAAAAAACAGTCTCAAACAAAAAATGCGTCTTCACATAATGTGAAAGACTAGAGAAGTGACAGGTATAATTTGTGGAATACAGCAGTAAAAAGAAACTAAGTTAATCTATAATGTCCACTAACCCCACCAGGTACTAAACAATCAGCTCATGCGACAACATTGCACGACACTGACTGACAAGATGTGCTAGAGCTGTTAGCCAGTTAGTTGTAGTACGTCAGTTCCGTCAGTCAGTGTCGTGCAATGTTATCGCATGAGCTGATTGTTTAGCAGCTAGTTAGTGGACATCATAGCGTAACTTGTAGTTTCTTGGTCCTTTTTCTTTGCTATAAATTTGTTCTTGGCTCTCCATCAGAGAATGAGTTGTCATCGCCATTTGGAGCCCATCTGTGGAAAACCGAAACGCATTTAAACCACTTGCTGCGAGCTACAGTCCATTCATCGGAAACAGACCCGCTGGCTTTGAAAGTCCGATTCGGGCAGTATTAAGGATCAAAAACCCACTTTAAATTTCACAATTCTGGGTTTGGGATTTTTCTCCATATATTTTGCCATGGCATACCTGTCCTAATTTTGTAAAACCTGGCTGAATTTCTATTTGGTGCCATTTCAGTGTAACTACAATGAAAGACTTTTTAATTCTGCAACATACCAAGAAGACGCTATGATCGGGGACAAGGGGTCTTCATGATCTTCCCCAGGGAAAAATATTCAAAAATTGAAGTCAATTGCAAGCATTTTCAGACATTTGGTGCCCTTTCAGTGTAACTGCAATCAAAGACTTACCGCCGCTGCCACTAGAGGAGCTGTTATCTAAACGAACAAATAGACAGGGAATTGAGAGACAAGAAGAACAACTGCGAATTACACAATGAATTAGCATGATACCGGACATCAAGAAACTGTGAGGACAACTGCAACATCAAGTGCAAGTACTTACATACTTACTGCCTCTCTCTTTCTCTCTCTCTCTTCCCCTCTCTCTCTCTCTCTCTCTCTTTCTCTTGCTCTCTATCTTTCTCTCTCTCTCTCTCTTTCTCTCTCTCTCTCTCTCTATTCTCTCGTCTCTCGTCTCTTGTCTCTCGTCTCTCGTCTCTTGTCTCTCTCTCTCTCTCTCTCTCTCTCTCTCTCTTTCTCTCTCTCTGTCATCGCTCTTCCACCCCCCCCCCCCATGGTGCTTGCTGTGTACGCTGATCCCGAGACCATTGGTCGGGGGAGTTTACCGCATGTAACCTTGCTTCCTGTCCTCGACTTGCTTCATCAGATTCCATCGCTGAAATTTTTTTCTTGTAGCGGAGAGTATTCATGTATCATGCTTCTTCTCTATGCCCATTGGAAATGTCATAGATCGGTAACTAAACTCTTGTCCTTAGTAGCGACAGATGAGCGGCAATTGCGATGAGCCGGCCCAAGGATTGTTATCTCTTTCCTGCAAGCACTGTCAAAACTGATACAATACACTGCGTGGGTCTCTTACACTGCACAACTTACCAGCCGCAGAGGGAGAAATCATGGTCAGCACCAGAGAAAGCAGGAGAAGCAGACCACCTGTTGAGAATTCGGTTTAAAAAAAGAACAAGACAGGAAAATACCATAATAACATGAATGAGGAGTAAGATGGTACTTCAAGAATATAGCCAAAGCCATTTAGTGAAAGAGAGAGAGACAGACAGACAGACAGACAGACAGACAGACAGACAGACAGACAGACAGACAGACAGACAGACAGACAGACAGACAGACAGACAGACAGACAGACAGGCAGGCAGGCAGGCAGGCAGGCAGGCAGGAAGGCTGACAAACAGACAGACTGCATCATGGTGCACATTGTCTACGTAGACGCCAAGACTTTTAAGGACGTCAGAGCCGCCTGGCCCCGCCACCACTTCTTGCACATATTCGGTACTATAGTGGACTTTTATAAAAAAGAAGACAGGCAGACAGACAGACAGACAGACAGACAGACAGACAGACAGACAGACAGACAGACAGACAGACAGACAGACAGACAGACAGACAGACAGACAGACAGACAGACAGACAGACAGACAGACAGACAGACAGACAGACAGACAGACAGACAGACAGACAGACAGACAGACAGACAGACAGACAGACAGACAGACAGACAGACAGACAGACAGACAGACAGACAGACAGACAGACAGACAGACAGACAGACAGACAGACAGACAGACAGACAGACAGACAGACAGACAGACAGACAGACAGACAGACAGACAGACAGACAGACAGACAGACAGACAGACAGACAGACAGACAGACAGACAGACACCCACCCAGCCAGCCAGCCAGCCATCCAGACAGGCAGGCAGGCAGGCAGGCAAACAGACAGACAGAGGCCAAGAAAGTGACAGAGATGGACACAGAGAAGACAGACAGACAGACAGACAGACAGACAGACAGACAGACAGACAGACAGACAGACAGACAGACAGACAGACAGACAGACAGACAGACAGACAGACAGACAGACAGACAGACAGACACCCACCCAGCCAGCCAGCCAGCCAGCCAGCCAGACAGGCAGGCAGGCAGGCAGGCAAACAGACAGACAGAGGCCAAGAAAGTGACAGAGATGGACACAGAGAAGACAGACAGACAGACAGACAGACAGACAGACAGACAGACAGACAGACAGACAGACAGACAGACAGACAGACAGACAGACAGACAGACAGACAGACAGACAGACAGACAGACAGACAGACAGACAGACAGACAGACAGACAGACAGACAGACAGACAGACAGACAGACAGACAGACAGACAGACAGGCAGTCAGGCAGACAGACAGAGGCCAAGAGAGTGACAGAGATGGACAGAGACAGACAGAGACAAAGAGACGGACAGAGACTGACACAAAGACCGACACACAGAGACAGACACAGAGAGACAGACACAAGGACAGAGAGATGCAGAGACAAAGACACAGAGAGAGACAAGGACAGAGAGAGGTATTTTCTAGAACAACTACTAGCAAGTGTGGGAAACTACATGCACAGGAAACTGAGAACTGCAAGAATGCAGACAACAACGAGTCAGGGAAGCTGACACTCATATGGACTTGCTTTTCATTACCATGTGAGCCCATTTGTTGCCCTATGTGTTTTTAAGCTTACTGCTGGTTGGATCCAAGTATCAGTTGTCTGATGATTGCCAAGCGGCATGACACTCCCTGAGTTACAACCAACCTGAACAACCTTCCGCTGAGTCTGTTATGTGAGGCAATTTTTATACAAATTCATAACCATAAATTCTGACGACCCCCAAATGCCCAATATACAGGTTGCCTTGAAGATATATTTAGTGGGTGAGGACAGGGTGCAGGAAAAGCAAACCTATGCATACCCACAGCCGAACACAGAACCGAACACACGCACACATACACACACACTGAACTCCCTCCCTGCCGCTCTTCTGTCCCAGCCTCTCCGCAGCAAGGGAATGCAAGAATTCAAAACTAAAGTTCATCGCCATCTGCGAAGCACAAACTGGCGCTTGGCAGTCGACTCGCTATGATGATGCTCTCGTCTGTCCCTATCTATGCACCGCAACTGGCTCCGACAATCTACTCGCCATGATCAGCCATGATGATGCTCCTCTCAGTCACAACCCTTGTAATTTGTTAATAGTCTCACAGTCCCGCACACTCACTAGTGTTATAGGGGAAGTTCAGCCTAAAATCAAAATTTCACCAGTTGTCTTCGGGGTGCTGAATCGAATGGTCGAGGTCCGAGAAAGCTGAGACGCTCCCTTCCTACTTAAATCCCAATCGAACTCGCGCACTTCCACCAAAACTGGGTGACTTCGCCCTACAAGATGGGGATTAGTATGCAAAATGTCACTAAAAGCGCCATTTCCTTCTTGTAAAAGGACGGAGGACCGCTATTGGCCCATATGTTGTAGTCTTTTGGACGCTGAGTCGACTGGTTTTGGTCTGAGAGAGCTGCGATGCAGCGGTCCTCCTTTATTCCCAATCGAACATGGTTGAACAAGCGGTCACGTGCTCCTGCGTGCCCAAGTCGCCTGGTCACCGCGCCAGCAGGCGACAACTTTCACACCAAGGTTCAACTCGAGTTCAACTCGAGTGACAGGACTGCACCCAAAAAGGTCAAACAGGCTGTAAGTTGTACCCTGCAGGCACGGTAACCAGGCGACTGGTGTACACAGGAGCACGTGACCGCTTGCTCAAGGATATTTGATTGGGAATAAGGGCTGCACGCTACATCGCAGCCTTTTCGGGGCAAAACCAGTCGAGTCAGCGTCTAAAAAAGACTACAACATATGGCCCAATCACGGTCATCTGTGCTTTTATAAGAACGAAATGGCGCTTTTAGTGACATTTTGCAGACAAATCCCCATCTAGTAGGGCACAGTCACCCAATTTCGGTGGAAGTGCGCGAGTTCGATCGGGATTATAGTAGGAAGCGAGCGTCTCAGCTTCCTCGGACCAAGACCATTCCATTCAGCATCCCGAAGACAACAACTGGTGAAAATTTGATTTTAGGCTTAACTTCCCCTTTAGCCCTTCCTTTCTTTTCCTTTGCTGACTCGTACAGCTCTATCTTTTGTTTTTGGTGCGTGTTTTTTGGCCGTGATGCCAAGACCTCAGGTCGGAAGAGCCATCAATGCCCCACCATCACTGCCAGTGGCGGATCCAGGACTTGGCCGAAGAGGGGGCCTAAGGTATCCCCCCCCCCCCCCCAAACAAAACAACAAATACAACAACAACAAAGTCCTGAAGTTGTGAAGAGCTGTTGTATTTTAGGGTCCGGCGGATTCTGCCGGCAGAAAAATTGGCAGAATTCTGTACTTTTTCTGGTAAGTTTCATGGATGTTTGGTATGTGGATAAAAAAAATGGAGCAGAATTCGAGGAATTGCCCGCCATAAGGTTTGTATGGTTCTGCTAATTTCACTGCTTTACGAGAAGAATATGCCACCTTTTCGTGCAGAATCTGCCGATCCCTAGTTTTATTCCATTCTCACGACATTTTCAAACTGCACTGGAACATTTCCACTCGACAGCGGCCGCGACGGACCTTTGGACGGCTCTCCAACGCGAGCTCTCTTATCTACTGGTCCACTGAAGAACGACCTGATGTCAGACCCTTTCCTCTTCATCTCATATCTGAAGGTAACCCGTTGGCTACAAGCGAAGTAGAGAGCTAGAGAGCGTTTACTTGTAGTTTCTGACAAGTGAAAAAGGAAAAAAGGGAGGACGAAGTCGACAGCACCGTGCACCATACAGGACTTCAGCCCAATGCGATCGCTGCACTATGTACCAGGCCCTGCATTTTTGGCACGTTTTTCACATGTTTGAAGTGCGGCCGTGTCCTCAGGTCGCAGTGCGTACAGTAGTTGTACACCGGTACACAGCGCGCTGACTAGTACAGACTCAGTGCGTGACACCATGTACCGGAGTGACCGGACACGTATAAAAGTACCCAGCACACGTGACCCACTTGACACGCCAAGTCATTTCGAGCGCTCATTCTACATCTACTGTAATCCTAGACCAAGGTCGAAATTTTCAAAGGGGGGCCTAGGCCCCCTGCCCCCCCCCCCCCCCCCCCTGGATCTGCCACTGACTGCTGCATCTCGGTGCAGCCCCTGCTCAATAGTTGTGGCGTTTGTCCTAGTCTCAGTATCATTGTCTTTCGCTACTATTTTCGAGCTGGGAATGTGAACATAGTAAAAAAGACACATACTCACACACCTACACACACACACTAACACACACACACACACACACACACACCTACACACACCTACACACCTACACACCTACACACACACACACACACACACACACACACACACACAAAAACACACACACACAAACACACACACACACACATTAATTTAACGAACACACACACGAACACACACACACACACCATGTACCATGTATACGCCCGTCGCAAGAGAATCACGCAAATCTGCAAATGCACTGGATGTGCACCCACAGATTTTCTCTTATAGCAACGATGGCGAACAAGATTTGAATGAGACAGATCAAGACTTGCGTCAGATAACTGTCTAATCCACACAACTGGCGAAGCCATGTGAATCGACCACCAATGCACACCTGGTCTACACCACACGGACACACACACGCACAAGCACACACTCACACACACACACACGCACACACATACACACGCACACACATACACACACACACACACACACACACACACTCCTCACCACAGACCTGCCCATCGCGGAAGCGATGAAAGCTATGTTGGACATACTGCATAAGCACATTTTTTTTCGTTTGGAGTTAACTTGCCCTATATTCGTTAGGGGGCACGAAATAACGAGAGATTGTATCAAACTAAAGTTTTTTTCCTGAACGTTTGGGGTGATAGACCTTGACGAAAAAAGAAATTTAGTACTTTACAAGCCTGCTGGTGGAGTGATAAAATGAAAGGTTTCGTGAACAAAAATTTGTACATATTTAGTAGCAACTTTTGCTGGGATCACACCATTCAAAAGCTTGCA